CTTACTATCAACGAGGAAAGCAATAGATGCATATTAAGTTTTTACTCTAAAATCAAGATAAAAGATAAAAATCAGTAAATTTTTGCGCACGTGTGCAAAAAAGTATGCGGATCGGATTTCAAAGTGAATATGCAAATTCATCAGTGTGTGGAGAGATCTCGTGTTACATGGAAATTATAAATGAGGAGAAAGACAAAACTGACCAAGGAACGTTTCAGGAAGAAAGCTTTATTCAAAACAGTTCTTGATTTTCTGTTAGAACCGAAAAACGTACGAATTTCTTACGTGTGCGAAACCCACGAAGTAGAATTCATCATGCTTAGATCGATGTTTACTTGACTTCACGGCTAGAATATTGCGCAGCGTTGTGTTGAAAATACTGAAAGTTCTACGTTTTAACACAAAATCTTCTATTAAACAATACTTTTTGGACATCTCATTACTCAAACGTGATATTTACCGTGCCTTTGAATCTTCATAATGTCTCTAGGCCTCGCTTGAAGTCCGATAGTTTGGTTTTCGCTTTACAGCCCTAATTCGCATCGCTTTAAAGAATTGTAGTGTTATCGACTCGAAAGCTTATTTTGTCGCCTTTAAGACCGTGATGTCCATTATTTTTCGAGCAGATTATTCTTTAGCATTTTTCCTTTTCATTTTGTGTTCCAGAAGGTCTAAAATGGTGGAAAAGGAACAGAAAATCCGACTTGAAAATATTGAAAGTCGGCCGCGCGTACGCCATTTCTTTGTAGTTGATCATTTCTTGTGAACGCATATAATGACGCCTCTGTACTACCCCCTAAAGTTATCAAAATAACTGCGCAAAAAACGGATTCTGATTGGTTTATAGATCCTCTAACAACAAAGGAAGTTTGGAGACAAAATTCTGCTTAGTAGGGGAGATAGGGGGGAAAGCGTCTCTCGCGCAAGTCCCCCACGCGGCACGGGCGGTTACGGGTGGTTACGGGCGGTTCAGGTGTCAATAGAGTGGTTTAGCAAGAGGACGGGAACATCATTTCAGAACGGGAAAGCGCGTGGATAATCTGGACACGACTCTATTTCGACTTCCGGTGTCAGCGTTGCCGTTCTCCCTATCAAGTTCAAGACGTCATTTCGCTGGTTTTCCCGTCGTGATCAAAACGCCTAGGGTTTGCGTTCATTGTGCACTCATAAACGAGATGATGCTGTTTGGAATTATTTCAGAACTCATTTCCAAGATAACCAGGTTCTTTTCTCTATTTTATTCGGTGAATTTGTGAAAATTTAGCGCTACGTTTATTCTGGATTCCCGAAAGGAAACACGATCGTCAGCAAGCGATCTAAGATCTTAGGACTCAGTTACCTTTTGTAATTGAGCGTGGCTTTAAGCACCGTAAGGGCTCTCTTTGATACATTTCTAAACCATGTATGAAAACTCCAAGAATGGTTGCTGTTAATTTTATCGTGAATCAATTCATCAATAAATTAAGCTTGCTTCATGTTGAAGTTTATCAAAATGAAACAACACGAAGGTTACCTGCTGTATTATTCAGTGTTATTTGTTGTCATTGTCATTTTAACCGTGATTAAAAACTGTTCTGCGAATTGAAGTCAGAGATAAAAAAATTCGAGAATAGCTCGGGTTCGCACTTTTTTATGTCTATTTTTTGATCAGCGCCGGTGAAAACTAAGACAAGAAAGTCATCTACGAAAGAAAATAACAATCAACTTGATTTCGGCACGGCTTTCTAAATCTATTAATTTGATTTAGTCTTGAACGACTTTATTCGTTAAAAATATCAAAAACAAAAACCAAAAAAAAACAGGAACGAAGTCTGATTCCTCAGTCTAACCGTTTCGTTGGTGACTAGTTTGAGTGCATTTCATTCGTTCATAGTTAAACGGGAACTCATTGTAAACAACTCCATCGTTGGGTCGCTTGATCTCTACATGTTTTCGCCATAACTTCTGATAACTCCGTTCAAAATGCATTGCAACTCTAAGAAGGTGGTGCTCAAAAGAGGTGTGCTGTCATGATTGAGAAGAATATTCAGTAAACCAGGGAAAAAACGGCGACGATTTCAATTCCAAATTATACTTTACAAAATTATGAAGAAAAACGAGTGGTGCTGAAATCTAGAAGTACGAAACGAAATGACAGCGATACAAATCATAGAAAAAAATATATTTAGTGGGCTTCAAAATCTGATAGACTCGAGACTGGAATGGAATAATTTCAAAGTTTAACCGCCCATGTGGATTCATATTAACCATTCACTTGTAGTAAACTATCCTCGGTTTGTGCTTGTTACACTCTCGAAGAGGATAATTTGTTGTCCTTCAAGTGGTCTATGAAACCGTAAATTCAAAGCTGATAATGATCCTAAAAAGCCAAGGTTAGGATATTCAAGAACGAAACAAAAGAATAAGTATAACGTGGACGGTTCGTTGAAAGGACTGCTAAGTCACTTTTCAACACAACGCGACGGCGTTCTCGACCCAGTTTCTTCTCGGCATTTTTGCTGCGCGCGCCGTTCTGAAATGACGTTCCCGTCCTCTTGCTAAACCACTCCAATGGGAGGAGTTTGAAACTCTTCCTACTCATGCTCAACACTTAAATCACACCAATTTTAACTCACCTCCGATTACTCTTCCACCAACAACCCTGGCTGCCGCAACAATGCCACGGGCTTGCGCTTAAATTGTAAGATTCAATGACAAATTAGGCAGGAGAATTGTAATAAAGTAACAGAATTGGATTTAAATTTTAAGTTCTGATCAATGAATAGCATAGTACGGTCACTCGATTGACGCTATTTGAGCGAAGACTCTTAGATACTTTCCCGCAAAAAATGCGGCAAAATAAAAATTACAGAGAACTAAATAATCGTTACCTTTCCTTCTTTCAAGTTCATCCTCGTCAAATCGTTGCTTCTCGAAATCCTGAACTTTCTTCACCAGATCTTGCCTCTCAATTCCCGATAAAATCCCTTTCAAGAAATCAAGACGACCAAACTCAAAAAGTCCTCGGCGTTCAAGTTTTTCGAACAAAATTCGAGCAGTTTGAGTGTTTCTTTCATTTTCCTCCAACGTTTCCCTCTCGGTGCAGACAGCAATGAGCTGCTGTAGTTGATTGCTTTCGTCGAGAGCACGGCTGATCTGTTCAAGCAATTCTTTATATTCTTTCCTTTTGTCCTCGAACTTTCTCACTTTCTGAAACAACGACCATTCTCCGACCCCTTTTAGGAGTTGTGTCAATAGCTCAACCTGATCAATGGCCAAATTATTTTGTTCTTCTAGCTCTCGAAAGAGCGAAAGTGCATCGGGAATGTCTTCAGGTCTAGACGCCACACGCCCTCTACACATGAAGAGTAAATGTCCATGTTGGTTCAGCTGATCGAGTCGTTGGCTTATCTCAAAAAGAAGGTGATTATATTCTACGAAAGACATTTCAACTGACGTTGCTATGCATCGAAAATACTAGCTTTTCGATCGAGCGCAGTTCGGTTTTTGGCAGTTCGTGTAAATTTACAACATGGCGGAAGAGTTTCATTCCATATCACGCACAGCGGCTATGTTAACACGCGATCGGATATACGTAACACGCCATCACATCAGTCCACAGATAGATCTTGGATCGGACTTTGGACTGTGATGTTGCCAATTAATCAGATCGACCGAAACCAGGTCGACAACTTACGAACCAGCCGAACATTTCGTTAACAGTGCCATCGATTAAAATGTCATTACACTCCAACAAAAGACCCGCTTTTCTGTTCAAATCTGCCAGAAACTGGCTCAAACGCACTTCCTATTCCATGAGTACACTGTAAAATACGCTTTAACAAGAATAAGCGGAAGTCACATTGTAATCTGCGGATACTCATACAAGATGCCGCTGATATGTCGTGGGCTCATCTGGTTAAGGACGATGTTATATAGTGCTTTCCGGACTGTGAAGTGCTTACTCCCTTCCTGAAGTCCCCTTTCGAGCCATTTAAAATTACTTAGCATACAATCATAGGTGTGAAATATATCGTGCTTTTGATCAAAAATCAATTTCATAATTCATTCAGAAACAAATAAATAAATGATTTAATTCGAAGAAATGCTGAGAAAATTTTAACACAGGAAATAGTCAACTTAAAAATGATTATCGGAACATGGCTTTGATTTGCATTGAACGATTGAATCAAAGCTCTAAATAAAATAAGCTGAACCTTCCATTTCCCGTCACGTGATGTCTGGCTCTGAAAGCCAGCAAGTGCGCATAATAGGCGGGGGCTAGCACCATAACCATAACCGGCAAGTCATTTATTATTTCTTGCGCACCTTTACCATTCTTGTGGTTCTGTGCTCGCACTCGTGCACAGTACTTAGTGGCATTAGCGTCCATACTTGCTACAACAGCAGCAATAGAAGGAATTCCATTTTCAGTCGGGGAGGGGTAGGTGACGTCGGCGCCAAAGATAATAATTACCGATCCGTGCAACGCGGCCGCCTCAATCAAGAAAGCGAGAATGGTGAGTGCATTTACACTTGTAAATAAAGTATCTGAAAATCAATCGCTTGTTGAATATAGGAGCGATCAAGTAAAGAAAACCAAATGTGCAGACTCTTGAATACCATGGGAGCGAAGTGTTTTTATGTTACACGCACGCACCTTCCGAAGCGAAGGTTTCACTGACTGAAAATGTAAACATAAACGCTTGTGGAGGTGAATTGGATGGACTATACACGTTTCCACTTCAACGAACGATTAAAGATTTCTCGGCGTTTACTTTAAAACACGATGCAGCAAAAAATAGCATCGGTGCATGTAGAATTGATCATCCTCTTAATATTAGCTTATTGTTTACTTGTGGTCTTTACATCTTGTTTATAGCCTAAAGTTTGAGTTATCTCTCACGTTTGTGACAGTTACAGAGCTGATTACTGTTCCTTTTGGTGAAACCAATCATATACGTTGTGCTCTCTATTTCTTCTATTCAACATCGTGAATAAATTACTACTTTACAGATTTTGTTATAACAAGGTGTCAGTGTGGAAACTGCTAATCAGTGTAGAGGGAGAAAGAAGACATCTTTTGCCAAGAAGTAAATGTGGCCATAAATAAAAATTTGGAGGATGTTACAGCGGAACAGTTGCAGGTAGAAGCCAGATGTATTGTCCAGCATCCAGGGTTTGAGGAAACTGATGAAGGCTGACTCTTTCTGCATTTGTTTTGTTACAAAACATCACTACACAGTGCTTCCCAGGTTTTTGTTTTCTTTGTTTTACATCCTGTTGTTCTCCATCCACATTGTAAATGTCAACATGGCTAAGAAGGGTGCAGTTTCTGATAACTTGAACGTGAACATATATATATTTAAGTTCAGGTCTTAATTTTGAGAAACATTGCTTGCTTGTTATTTCTGTAGCATGAGTTTGTTACTGACTCGGTTCCTTTTTTTTTTTTAACAAAGCACTGCATTTTAAACGGTGGGAGCCAGGCAGTCCCATGGTTTCCCCTCTCAGGCGGTTGGCTTGTTTTATTTACAGTGAATGAGCTTGAGTAATTTATTGTTCACTTAGCTGACAGTGGCACATTTTTGAAACCAGCAACCTTTCGAACAGGGTTGATTTCATCATGTTTCTGGTCGCAAATGAGGAACAACGCTTGAGAGCGATGCTTATAACAAGGCGTTTCTTGTAACATCCGTTTACTGCATGTTTCTTTTATTGTTCACTTCCACTGGAAGTTAATTAAACTTAAGCACACAAATGTGCTATATATATGCTGCTCAATGTTAGTTGTAATCATTCCTGGAGAACTCTCAGCTAGAGACAAACTGGGTCAAAAGAAATAAGCAAAAAAGTTACAACAGTAAGAAATCTTCCTTTGTGCTGCTCACTAGTCTCCATTAAAAAAAAATAAAAAAGGATGAATCTTTTTATTTCCGGAATGTGGAAGAAGAATTTCATTCAAAAAACCAGATGAAGACCTCCCATAATACGCGACAACACTTTGCATTTAGTCAAGCTCACTCCAGAACCAATGGGCCTGAGGTCACAGTGATATACAACATAACAGTTTCTTCAAACTATATTTTGTAGGACTTGCAGCTGGAAACAAAAATGCTCACCTTTACTTTTTATAAAGTCATCTACTGCTCCTGCAAATGTGTACAGTACATGTTTGATGGAGATACTTTGGAGTATTAGTGAGAGTGGTAAAGCATTAGCAAATTATTTTCAAAAGTGATCCAGTCTCAATAGTGCTCTGTTTGCTAAAAGACTAACCACTTCATTGGTTAACATAGATAGAGATTCTCTTTTATGTGAAAATTTTAGTTTTGCACTAAAACTTGAAAAATTGTTGTATACATAACAACAATAAAGCATTAGCAAATTATTTTCAAAGTGATCCAGTCTCAATAGTGCTCTGTGTGCTAAAAAACTAACCACTTCATTGGTTAACATAGATAGAGATTCTCTTTTATGTGAAAATTTTAGTTTTGCACTAAAACTTGAAAAATTGTTGTATTAACTTATTTCTAGTAACCAATTATTATTTTCTGGTTTTAATTCTTTAAATAAGAAAACTCTAAGGAAAATAAACTGAAGGCCCTGTCTCCATCTCTGTCTCTGCCACCTGTAACTTATTTCTGCTGGTTAGCATGGAATATTTTAATAACTGTATTGAGTGAAGTGGTTCTTTAAAAAAGAGCCCCAACACTTATCGCAAGCAGAGAACCTAGCCTCTGTTGTGGTGGTCTGGCCTTTATTCAGAAGTTAGGGGCATCTTCAAAGATTTCCTTGAAAAAATTATTAATGGCTTGATGTAGTCTGGCTAAAGTCCTCAGAAAAGCATTGTAAAGCTGAATAAGCTGATGGATGTGGTGCTATAGAAATCCTTCTGTAGTATTATTATTTTTATTACTAACATGATGAATTTAGAGAGCATTAACTGCTCTGTGTCAATTATTTTGATTTAAGATACTGTAAATTTCAGATCGATTTTGAAGTAACACTTCCAACTGAGAACAGTAAAGACAAGGTATTTAAGGTAAGTAAAGAGTCTGGTCTTGCAATTCAAATGAGAGCAAGTTCAAAATTTTTCTCTGCAACAATTCCTTTTAACTTGCTTTACATCATAATTACAACTTTACCATACTATTACAAATTGCATTTTTTTAATTACCACCATTTCTCCCACCAAGCATTATCATTATTTATTTTTCAAAGAATTAGTTACATAGTTATTGGGAAATAACAGAGTCTTTTACAGGTTATACTGGCATTCAGCAGCCAATCCTCTGGTACTCCTCTTTTTGTGTAGGTTTCTACTACCTTAGGGTGAAATGTTTGGTATAACTCTTTTTCTCCCAGAAGTGACCAAAAAGTTGTTTCTTTTTAAAAAATCAGTAAATCATCACATTATCAAGCCAACAGGTAGTGAGAATAAAGAAAAATACTAACCCAGGGAGATTCTTGTCAAGTAAAATTGTTTACAGAGTTCTCAGAGGTACATGTAACAGTGAGTTTAGGTTTAAAAAGCTAGCACTGTAGGTTAATACTCCAACATAGACCAAGCAGTTACATGTTTAAAAGCCACAAATAACCGACAACCGCAAATGCACATATTATTATTATTAGATCATTAGTAAAGCACTCATTGGCCTGATTAGTTCATGTGCATGCCTGCATACTTCCAACTGTATTTTGTCACAGCACATTTGCTTTATAAACAATTATGATTTTGAGGTTTTGATAGTGGAGGATTTAAAGCTGTAATAAAAGAACAGCTTCCTTCTATTCTGCTAAGCTACAGTATGGTTTGATTTTGATTTAGGTGACTGTTAAATGGGTAGCACAAGTCAGCTTATTTGCACTGGAACAAGCATTAGAAGGAAAACACAATCAAATCCCTTTTGAGACCATCCAGGCTCTTGATGTGGTGTTAAGGCATTTGCCATCCATGAAGTATGTACCTGTTGGAAGATCTTTCTTCTCACCTCTAGAAGGTTATTACCATCCCCTGGAGAGTGGGCGTGAAGTTTGGTTTGGCTTTCATCAAAGTGTCTGACCATCACAGTGGAAGATGATGTTGAACATTGATGGTTAGTGTGAAAATGGCTACAACTTTATATTACTATAGAATTGTTTAAGTGTGTCATATACATACTGCTGATGTAGGACTGTATCTTGAAATCAAGGGAGAATTATACAAGGAAATTATACAGACAAATTTAGGACATGAAAATCATGTGTCTATAACACATGCTGTGTTCTCTACAATTCTTAAGGTGATGGCTAAGGAGAATTATTTTGTTTAACAATCAAGAGCTTCTTTAGTTGGTTATCATTTCTTTTATTCTTCTGACCTTAGTGTGCGATTCAGGGCTGATATTGTAAGGAGAAATTAGATGCTGGTCACTCTAAGGAGTCAAAGGGTTGAAGGGTAACATAAGCAGTAGCCTCCACTAACAGTAGAGTATAAATGTACCCAAAGATTTGTCTGAAGCTTTTGTTTATCAAGATAGATAGTTACCGGTCACTAAAACTCTGACGATGTTACTGAGAAATTTTGTCTTTTGACTTGATCATAGTTTCAGCCACAGCATTCTATAAATGCCAGCCAGTTGTAGAGTTCATGTGTGAAGTCCTTCGCAGACAAGAACAGGATCTTCAAAAGACAAAACCATTGTCTGATGCAGAAAGACTGAAATTCACCCGAGAGATAAAAGGTATGGAGCCACGTATTGTGTGCATATGAGAGGATGATAGATACGTGTAGACTGGGAAAAATAATTGAAGAA